GCCTCACTGTCTGTTTCTGCGTCCTCTATCCTCTGTCCCAGCCCAGTTAAAAGCAATTTCAGCTCAACATGGAAATGAGCGCTGCGTGGAAACATAAGCTACTCCCTGAAATGCAATCCAGAGTAGTGCAGGTTTTTGTCATCGCGGTGCTAGACTCTGTTACAGTGTCACTTATATTTATTTAGAGTCACAGTTAATAAAAGTAATCAGGTTACATCTTAACATAGTCATGGCAAATGTGATTTTTGTATTATGAAAAAGGGAGAAAAGGGATGGGCTTTGTTGGAGAGGTTCTTCCTGTCTCTCCTGCTCGGTTTTTAGCCCTTTTCTCTTACGTGTCTTTTGTGCTTACCGTTAATACTTTATGAATAGGCCCTACATGTTAGATAGATATCATCTCCACTAAAACCTTTAACCACATTAACGACATTTAATTAAGGATAGAATCCCATCTAGGGGATGAGACGATGATTTAGCCTCTTTAATCCAGCAAAATGTCCTAGCTGGGGGCCTCGACAGTGATCACTCCCATCCGTCACACCCAGGGATTAAAGCAGGACAGCCAGCGCTGCACAGCGGAGACATCTTGCTGATTTGACTGAGCTGGGAGCAGAGATGCTGGCTGCAGCAGCTAGAACTGGAACAAACGTTGGCAAGCTGTTGATGGGGATCTGATGCTGTTCAAGTGAAGACTGCAGTTGGGATGATGGCGTTGCGCCGGCTTGCAGCTGAGGATTGGATAGAGAAATAGGGGTCAGGGGCATTGAGCGAGGGACCGTTCCTGGCACACGAGTGAAACTAGAGGAACTGTGATGAGGACCTAAGAGGCCAGGCTAGGGCGAGGGCTGAGGGACAGGGACTTGGGCTGACAGGCAAGGCCAGGCCTTCAATTCCAAGGCCCAGTCCCCATGCTCCAGGCTTCAGCCAAACAGCTAGGCAGGTGTCCAGCTGATCTCACACCCCCACAAGGGAGGAACTGCAGAGCACCAGTCACTGGAGCTGCACAAATTGAAGTGTCATCTCCAGAGTCAAGATGCTCACCAATTTTCTGCATGCGTTGGTGCAGAGTTGGGATTCAGCCAGTGGACAAATGGCTCCAGTTCCGCCTACAGTTTGGCTGAGCAAAGGAGACTGTGGTGTGTGTGTGTGTGTGTGTGTGTGTGTGTATTTTGCCTGTGTGTGTGTGAGAGACAAAGTGACTATGTATGGAGCACTGCAGGTCTTCATTTGTTGTCCTTGAATGATGTTCTATCTTTTGACTGATCACAATGAAGCATGAATCTCTGCAAAAAATAATCAAGCCAAGTAAATCTGAATAGTTTAGAAGAAATTACGTCACTTCTGTGAACATTTAAATTTAAGATGTGGAAAATCCTTTGACTCTTTAGCCTTCACCAAGTGATACTGAACAATACATCAGATATTTAACATTTAAAAATAACAATATTTCTCATTCTGCAATTGCCTGTGAAATATAAATCTTGAGATTATTATATAGATCCTGTCTGACATACCCCTCGGCAATAGGCCAAATCCTTGTCATCTCCTGACCTTTGACCTTACACAAGTATGTGCCGATTACACAGGGGCTGTGGGGGAGTATGTGGGAAAGCTGCATCGATCTCACTGAGAGACTGAAACATCACAAAAGAGAAAGAAGAAAGGGGGAAAAAAAGTCAAGCCAAAGTTAAATGAAAAATTGCTTACATACACGTCTTGCACACGCAGTCTGGAACATTTATTATTCTGAGTCACACAGAGAGAAAAGAGGTGGAGGAGGATAGAAGAAGAGAAGAATCCATTTGGTAAAGTAGATGCAGATCGATGAGACTGGAGGCAGGCAGGCCAGAGTGCAACAGAGGAGGGGTGTGTGTGTGTCGGTGAGTATCTGTGGTGTCTGTCTGTGTGTGTGTGTGTGTGTGTGTGTGTGTGTGTGCGCTTGCGTGCATGAGGCGTCCCAGATTACTTTCCCTGATTGATCCAGCCCAGCATCCGTCTGACCTGCAGGACATTTCAGAGCTCGGAAAGATGCTGCTGGAGGTGAAGAAATGGCGAGAGGGAGACGGCCAGGAAGAAAGGGAGAGGAGAGAGAAAAATAAAAATCAATAGCGCAGAGAGCATTACAGGGAACTTGACTGGCCGAGAAGCTGAGATAGTAAAGTCGTATTAATCTCTTTGTGTCTCAGTCAGTTTGATAGGAACTCCAATTCAGTATCACTAACTCCAATTCAGTATCACTTTGGGGGACTGAGAGGGAGTTTCAGTCTGACTTTAGCAGTATCAGGTGTGGCCGGAAGGGGACAAATTGTCAGTATATTTGGATGTGTTTATTTGTCTTAAAGTATAAGGTGATGTTTTGTGCAGATTGTGCCATCCTATTTTCTCCTTATAATAAGTAAATCATAAACAATTATCTGAAGCAAGACGATGAGGCGAGTCTAACAAGTCAGATGGTTGCATGCTGGCTCCATTTTGTAGCTGCCAGGCAGTGTGTCTATCAGTGAAGAGATCCTGCAGCATACTGTCTACTCCGCAGTGTCTACAGCCTCCATCTATCCTAGCCAAGTCAGGGTAAATTGATTGTCTAAGCTCTGTAAGGGAAGGGGGAGGGAAGCCTGCACCAGGCCAACAGTATAAAGTGGTGGTTTTATGGTGTAAAAGCTGCAGAGAAGTGACGAAGGTGAATAGGACAGGAAAGGAAGACAGAAAGTCCTTGGTCATCTAAATTTTAGCTTGTGCCATAAGTGGCATAGGGCTGTCCAAAAGAAGAGACAAAGTGTGCAAAGTATGAAAGAAAGACCTGTAAACATTAATCCTTATACTGTAAATCCAAAAGAAAGCTGCTTGTGCCTTTGGTGTTTTCGACTGTTAGAGGAAAACAAATGTTTACTCCCCTTCCTTGCTGTAGGCGGATAAGGCTCGTCCTATTTGACTGCAGTACCCAGACACCATTGGCCAGGAGCCCAAGGAGACAGGAAGCACTTTTGTGGCATCAAATATTAATGGCGTTATAGAGTGTATTGATTATATAATACGTTTTCCCAGCATCTGAGCACAGACTGAAATGTATTCCCTGAATAATTGAAAATGTATCCATGAGCGGTTTTTCATCTCAATGGTTGGTGAATGTAATTGCATTGCACCCTTATTCCAGTGTTATTTGAGATTTTATCAGAAGACGCACATGTGTGTTCATGTGATAAACGCAAGGACAGTGAGGATATGAAGAAAGATGAAATTGCGTGTGTGCCATGTGTGTGTGTGTTTGTTTTATCAAATGGTTGAGCACTGAATATTGAGCACTGAGTAATGTTTTGAAAATGGGATGCAGAGACTTAAACGCACTTCTGAGAAATGTAATATTCCTTTTTGCCGACATTATGCTCTCTTGCGCTATAAGTTGGCTGTTGAATTGGAGACTCATATACATCTGCTTGCTGCTTCTTACATTTTTATCACCACATTTGTACATGCTACGATAACACTGCACTGTCTGCTTGCTGCGACACACCATTCCCTTCAGCACTGACATAGTATGTAAAATGACGGCTGTGCAGAATGGGTGAAAAATGCTTTTGATGTTTCACCTCTGCCTAACATTTTCTTTTTTCAGGGTAGCTTTTCAACTTTACATTTAACAGCAGGCTCTTGATGAGTTGAATGTTGGTCCACTATACTGTATGTGGTGGCTGCAAACTGCCGCTAGCGTGGGCACCTTAGCCCCAAGGGTGTAGCTATCCCTAGCACTATCCACTCATGGGTCTTTCAAATGGTTATAAAATACACCTCAATGGCTTTGGCACACCTTTATGAGGTTGACCTAACACCGCTAAAAGCTTGAAATTGTTAACATAAAGTAGATTTGTAATTTGAGCAAAAAATTCTGATTTACAAAGTAGAAAGTGTTTTTTATTGGAATATTTTACACAAATATTATTCATCAGTAACCCTTTGGCCCTCACCAGACTAAAACAAAGGTGGCTCAGCTTGATATTTCTAAAGGATCATCCCCCAGAATATCTCAACCATTACCTGTCAGCTAGTAGAAACAATATTCCTTGTCCTCTTTTCTACCCTGACCTCTCTGCCCCTCTGTATCTTCTTTTTGCCTTTCAAGCTGACAGTTCACTCTCATTTAGACCTCCATTATGCATTCCTGCCTAAGTTTACAAGACACATTGACAACAGAACATGTACAGACTCTCTCTCTCCTCCCCCACCTCTGTCTCTCCCTTTCTTTGAAGTATTGGAAGTGTCTTCCCCATTATTCAGCCCTCGCCTTTTCTTCCTCCTCCCATCTGATCCCTCACTCCCTCTCTTCATCTCTCTGAAGGAGTAAATGAAGGCAGAGGTCATCCCTCCTCTCTTCCTCCTCTCCTGCTAAATTGGCTGCTTGTAGCATCCGTAGATAGCTGCAGGCATTTAAGCCCCCTGCTCTGGAGAGCTAGTGAACAGACTTCCTGCTCATTTGTGGCATTTCTGTCTCCTCAACTACAGGCTTGTTTACCCACAGAGAGCAAGAGGGAAACCCTCATTATAAACTCTGCCAAGGTCATTGCAGTCACCACACCAATCTGCTGGCGTCAACACACACATGCAGTTTTCAAATGATTGAAACAACTGAAGAAATAACATCTTAACCACCATTTCTATCTTAGAAATTTCATTTCCAGCATGAAGCAACATTTCTACTCTTCTCTCAATTTGAATCATACATTTTTACAAATCTTAATAATCACCCCAATTTATTTTTCCCCAATGATAAATCTCTCATCTCAACATGCCAACCAAAAAACTAAAATTCCGAGCCACTTTGTTTTAGTTTGACTGGCGGAATGACTGTAAAAGGTGTAACTGTATTTTTCTAGTGAGCCGCCATTTTCCCCATCAACCCAAACCCCTCACTCCCCAAATCCCACCATAACCCTAACCCTGTAAAGTGAGTGTATGATGTTGACGGTGGGCTGTGCGTCCCTCCCTCCCTGTGCTCCGCTCCATAGGGGTCGACAGAGACACAGTGGCGTCAGGCAGAGCTCCCACAGCTCCAGGGCTGGGCAGAGAAGGGATTGCTGACACAGCCAAAGATGGTAAGGAGACTACTGCTGCCAAATGGATGGCCCAGCCATTTTACACACCCATGACGTAATATGATCTGATATTGTACTGTGTTTACATAAATACGCTCTGGTTGGTGATGCTGCTGACTGAGACAGTTGGAACTGGAGATTGATGGATGGGGCAATAGATGGAGGGCAAGAGGGAGGACCGGGGGTTGCAAGGGAAAAGAAGTTGTGCCGACATAAGTGAAAACCAATGTTCCTTCCTTTTATGTATTTTAGGAAGCCAGTAAATAATGTTGTTGATGTCAAATGTTTCAATATATATGTATACATGATGTTTTAGCATTTATACAAAATCTATTACAAATCAATTGTGCTGTTTAGTCTTCATTAACACATGCAAGCTGCACCCATAGGCATTTCTGATGGACCTCTACTTCTTTGCAGACACATCGAGACTTACTCAAGTTAGTCACTACAATAATGTTTTTTTCCCCCTTTATCCTGTATTGACCACTCTAGCACTCATTAGAAATGAATGCCCCCCACCATGCACTTTACCTTATAGAAACTGTAGATTCAGATAGATAGATTCAGACTTGTTTGAGTCAAACTAAATTGATGGTTAGTTAGTTTAAGTTTATTAGTTTTAAGAATGACCACCAGGTAACTTATAACAGTAACCATCTATTCTAACTTCGATCCAACACCTTCTCACACATTTGTATCCTGTATTTCCAACAACGGCGGACTTGTATACATGTATTACTTCAGCTAGAAGCCCAGTGCTGACTCTGCCTCCGACATGAGTAGAATTATAACTTGTGAGTAAAAGAAGTTGCATCTTGAGGCCCGGCACTTGAGAGGGCCATGTGTTGTAGCAAGTCAACAGGACATGCAGTGAGTTCTGTCCACAGCACTAGGCTCCACAGTGGGAGATCAGGAGCAGCCAGAGTGTTCACAACCAACATGAAGTGGACTGCTGAGCAGCACAAATGCTGGTGGGCAGGGACAAGGAGAGGAATATAATTGGTCACTGGGACTCGGCAGGTCCCTGTTAATTAGAGGCAGCCATTTTGGTGTAAAAACTCCTCAGAAAGCATCCCATGGAGTTGAAAGTCTCTCTGACAGAATGGAGCCCAGCAGGGAATGTAAACAGATTTAATAAGGCCCTCTCCAATCAACTCTGTTATGGCTAGATACTATTCTCTCTTTCCTCTCTGCTCTCCCTCTCTCTCTCTCCCCCTGTCTTTCTCTGTCTGTGTCTATATCTCTGTTGTGGTAGAGCGGTGAGTGAGTAGGAAAGGATACTGTCAAAAGAACAATTTGCATGCAGCTCTCATCTTGAGAGCTTTTAGACATCTCCCTGTCTGTTTGTTTTCTGCTGTGGGCTTGGGCCATTGTTCTCTCTCTCTCTCTGTATGTGTGTGTGTACGTGTGTGAATATGTGTTCTTCCACTCGCTGCTGAGTGTGAATGCAGAGAAGTGTGCGCATGAATGCAAGAATGTGTATGTGTTTGCTTGTGTGTGTATGTATGTTTCAAATCAGAAGATGGAAGCAGATTCCAGACTGACATTTTGTTGGTTCTGCTTCTAAATACTTAGAGGAAAAGAAAAATTCTAAATAATAAGATATAGTGCAGTTTTTAAAGGTCTTTCTTAAGCAAGAGAAAATTTTGGAGGCTTCAGGCCATCTAAGCCCCTGTATGCCATCCCATTACATTGTTGGTATAGTTATTTAGAGATAGATATATTCCCAGTACTTAAAGACCAGAGGCTCCTCTAGCTGTTCTGAACTTCTCATTAACATGAACTACACACCACGTCATCCTTTTGACGGTGAACCAGCACACAGTTTAGAACCCACTTAAATTTACTTTACTCACCAATTCAGTCTCACATTTACACATCACTTTTTAAAAAAATGGTTACTATTATGAATAAATAACACATTATTTTTTTTATATATGTATTAATAAACTGATGGTATTTGTTTCGTAACTAAAGAATTATTTGTTTGCCTGCTGTTTCATTTATCATCGTCTCCGCTTACCACTACACGGAGGAAGATAGATAAAAGAAAAGTGATTAAAGCCGAGAAGTACACGCACTGTAAATGTCTAAAATGGTTTTGAAAACTATTTCTGGACAAACTGGGAAATTTTTTAATTTCGCTTTGAGCTATATTATTAGAACACAGGTCCAGTCTTTTGATAATCCAGAAATAGAGTGAAATACGACTTGTGTGCCGTTTCTCCCTTGCTAAAACCAGCCCTGCTTCCAAAGTGCAGCCTGTCTGCGTGTACTTAAGAATAGTTAAAAATAGACCGAGAGCTGAATGGTTGAACAGGGGAAAGGGAGAGATCTGAGTGATGACTTTAAAAATTTGATTGAATCAGATTAAAGAATATTTGCATCTTGATTTGGGTTTCAACATGTTAGATCATTACAGTGCTTGTGCAGCAATATGATGGGGGCTTGAGTTTGTGTTTCAAATGGACATGGACAGGCTTTTTCTAGGGATTTGCAATAGTTTACTATGGTCCATACCATGGAACCAGAATCACTATTCGGCACAGCACACACATATATGATACAGGACACTTTGGGACACAACATTAAAAAAAAAGATTTAAAAAAAACAAGCTAACAAACATTCTTACAGCAGTCAGCTTACAGTCTTCTGTTCTGGCGAAGCATTAGTCAAGACAGTATGATGCTCTATACTTTTGTAACAGTGCGTCCATCTTCTTTTTTCTGTTTTATCTTCCCACCATTTAGTGAGTAGATTTAGTTGTCTCTTCTCTTTCCATTTGCAAAGCACTGACACCCCCATCACACGCACACTCACACATATATGCAACAAAAGCCATTAATTTGATCAAACAAATGTTTTTTATGCAAATGTATGAATAATTTCACTTCACACATGGCTTTTGTTGGAGAATAATGTTCGCTCAGAATAAACATTTGTATTAAATATGTATCAGAGTGCTCTGGTAGAAAAGCAAAGTGCAACCCACCTCCCTCCTGCTCCAACTTTAGACTCTCAATCCCTCTCACGTTTTTTTTTTTTTTGCTGTATTCTCTCACACTTACATCGAGCTCAGAGTTCCTTCTTGAACACTTTGATCGTGAGATGCTCTGCAAAACCAGATATGAAAACACAAACTTCTCTCTGTCACAGCAGCAGCATCAGCAGTCACATAGCATGCTGAAGGGGCAGCCCCCCTCATTGCTGCCCCCTCCCACAAACCGCAGCAGCTTTCAGAAAATCATTCAGAGACGCCCCCTACTGTCTTATTTAGCTGTTTATCCTCTCTGTGTCTAGTGTTTGTTATATTTCTCAATGTTTAGAGATGTGGAATGTGTACAGTGTGTTCACTATATGTTTAGTTTGTTATGCCATTTTAGGGTTTAACAGTGTTTTGATGTGTCAGTGTTGATGACGCATCGTAATACAGACTGACAGACAGATTCGTTTTTCTCCAATTTGATACTTTGTTCATCCCTAAAGAGTACTTTTCAGCAATGTATTTATATACCTGAAAAAATCAACGTACTTCATCACATTGATGCAAAATCCTGTAAATACAATATTACTTTAAAGCAGTCCTGCTCACTGATTTGAAGCATTATCTGCAATAATAGTAATTTCTGTCATCTCATTATATATTGTCATATTACCCAAACAGTGTAAAAATGCATTGAGTAACCCTATTCCAAACTGAGAGAAACATTGTGATATTTGTTCTACTTTATCATGCAAGAATTAATTGTATGGCAATTCTAAAATATACTGTATGTAAAAACCTTACTGGAAATAGGCCTTTAAAAGCCCCTTTCACCCTGACTGTTGAATTGACTTAATGCAACAAAAGTCATGCTTTTTAGAAAATTTGCTTTGAAAATAACCACTTTGTCAGTCTATATATTCAGTGTTCCAAATTGCTAAATACAGTACGGAAGCCTTTGCTAATGGATGCTGTCTTTCTCCTTCTTCCTCCCTGGCCTCTCTCTCTATGGTTCCTCTCCCTCTTTCCTCCTCCTCTTTGCCATGATCCAGATCATCAGTAACATGGAGGCTCCAGTGACAAATGGCCCCAGCGGAGGAGGCACCACAGCCAACGGGCCGACCACCAACAGCCGTGGCTGCCCTTCGCCCATGCAGACTGGCCCAACAAATGACGACAGCAAGACCAACCTCATTGTCAACTACCTGCCCCAGAACATGACCCAGGAGGAATTCCGCAGCCTGTTTGGTAGCATCGGGGAGATTGAGTCCTGCAAGCTGGTTCGCGACAAGATCACAGGTTTGTAAGATTTCTCAGCCCATACAGTAGCATCTATTTCACTGTAGTAAAAACATGAAAATCACCTAAAGTCAAGTCAAAAGGCTTTCAGTGACGACATGACACACCCACAATCAGGACTCAGTAACGGAATTTGATACTTTTATGCCACAGACCGAATTGCATTGGTACTACCGAGTATGGAAAAATGGCAAATACCAATTTTCAGTACCAACTTAGTAAAACTCATCAGCATCAGTATGCTCATGCAGCATGCAGCAGGCTGTTAACGTTACATGTGGTAGAGATGTGCAGGAAAAACACAGTTTACACAAAGAGATCCCCTTTTTTTACTGTGAGCCGCTTATCTACACAGACAACTAGTAAACTTTGTTCTGCTTATTAACGAGCAAGTGTAGCTAACTTGTATTTGCTCTATGGTGAGTCCATTCACCTCATCATCCACTGGGATGGAAACTGCAGCGCATCCTCTCCTCGCCAAAGTGGAGGCAGAGAGTGTTCATGATGGCATGGTGTTGTTTACAGACCGACAGGTAAAAGGAGAGAAACACATGGTGACGGTGGATTGTTGTCAGACCCGTGGGAGCTGGTCTCTACCCCACAGACAGTATGAGGTCTCACTCGGCCATCAATTCCCAATACCATAAACATCCCCCACACACTCATTCCCTTCTTTTTTTTTGGGTTAGGCAAGACATATTGCTGCCATACTGTTTGTTATTAATGTTCCTTTGACAGTTATTTATAGTTTTTATATAGTCCAGCAATATACAGATATTCAATTTTAGTCCAGTTATTCAGGTTGAGTAAAAGTAGCTCCCAGGTCTTTAAACAGCTTCCTCCTTTGAACTGAGAAATTGTACCATTATGTATAATGTTAAAATGAATTTTATTAAAAAATCGGTATTGGTACCTGTGTCAAAACATTTTGAACAATAACCAGCCCTAGTCACAAGTAGAACTGTGGAGAAATTAGGATATAATGTAGTTATAGGCAGTTCCTCCGAGGAAAGGAAAAAGCACAATGTGAGCTACTATACTGAGCTCCCTTAGAGCTGGAAGGGATTTAGATGCTTGCTTTCTATTCTGACAATTTTACATGGCCTGATCCTGGACTTCAGATTCACTACTGCATCCTGCTTTTAAAGTATAATACTGTAGTCTTAGGTGTAAATTCTTAGCAAACAAATACTTTAAGATAAAGTATAAGTATACATTTACTTTGTGTTTTTATTCACCTTTCAGTGTTTTTTTTATTTTTTTTATAGTCTGATAACAGTAAATTCATAAGACAGACAGCTTACATTAGTGTTCACCTACTGATAAAAGATCTAAGGTAGGTGTAGAAACTAGAGCCTGTCCATACGCTGTGTGTTGAATGTGAACACACATGTAGAAGTAGATATGCAATGAATAGTTACACAGGCCCACAGTCCAACATCATTCCAGGCAGTTCTTGCGGTTGAGAGTTGTAGCGCTGTCTTCCACAAGAAGAAATCCATCTCTGCCCTCTGTGTGTGTTCAAGCGCTGTGACTCAGCAATGCAGCGAAGTGCCACATGTTCTCCAGAGGTGTTTAAATTAAGCAGCACTTCGCGGCGCTAATCATGGCTGTAATCTGGGCGTAGTGGCTGTGTGGGTGGCCATACAGCAGATGGATCGGGGGGGGTTGGGGTTGGGGTGGTGCAGCTCTGTGATAATGCTCCATAATGGCTTTCATTTTAGATCCTACTTACTGACACTCTTCTCCTGATAATCTCATTAAAGAGCACCAGGCAGGCAGGCAGGCAGGCAGTCTAGATCACCAAGCCGTTCTCAGATAGCAGGCAAGGCAAGGAGAGTAAACACACACATACTCATATATATATATATATACGCAAACAGAATTACATTTCCTGTAGTAGATTAAGTACGACCGAAATGCCAATAGCAATGACAATTTTGACTGTAAACCAGAGATGGCCACTAGCCCAGCCATTCCTGCCTCCTTCTGTTCCCTTGTTCTTTGAAGCATATTCTGCAGCTCTACTCAACTCATCTTTAGGACCATCTTCCTCTTCCTCTGTAATGGGCCACAAAATGGAGCCTGAGAGTCAGATACACCAGGATAATGGAGGATGGTGTGTACAAAAATAACACTGGGACACCACATGCTATCATCATCACCATCACCATGTTCTCTCTCCACCCGATTTTCCCCTCAAGTGTGATTTGCCAAGCAGCAGCGAGGACCCAAGCTAACAGCAGATATTTGGAGAGAGTTTAAAAAAACGAACAGAATTGCTGTAAACCTGCTCGGGAATGTGAGAGAGGAAAAAATGTTTGTTCGCTCACTTCTAAACAATTTAGGGTACTTCTCTGCTCTGCACTACAAGGTCTCTCTGATGACTTAGCATCAACGCAAAAGTTATAAATAAATCCAGCCCTCCCTCCATCTCCCCCTGTGGTGTATGCCTGTTTTGCTCTCCCATGGGTGCAATTTCCTCGTACAAACTTTTAGGCTAACAAAGCACAGATCCCCTCTTCTAGCAGGGATGCCAAGAGACTTTATACTCTAACAGTCATCCAAATCATTAACAGAGTAAGCCAGGTTTGTGAAAGGGAGGGGTAAAGAGAAGGATGGAGGGAATAGTAAAGAGAACATTTTTTAGGCTAATATATACACCTGTACCCTTTCTCATCTGTCATTAAAATCTGCACATTGATGTAAGACAGATTTTTATCCAGATTTCTGAGTTTGTCAAGATTGAGAGAGGAAAATATATTTTTTTTACAATTTTGAAATTCTAGTATGAAACTTGAGGATGGTTAGAGTGTGCTGTAGCTACATATTATTCATATTGATGGGAATATTAAGGCCGTCGTATTGTATTATGCAGTGTGAACAGTACGAGGAATATAGAACAAAGTTTAAGAATTAAAGTAAATTCACTGACTGAAAATTGTAAAATATGTATTTGGATAATAGCATCAATATTTTGTCATTACAAGATTGAAGTATTTCGCCAATGAATTCACTGTTTCAAGCAGTCTTTCAGTGTACATACCACGAGTAAGAGGAGTTCCATTTTGTATTATATAGTACTTTTGCAACGGCTGTACTATTTCAAATGCAGATAAATGCCCTCGCTTTCAGAAGCAAGCATTCATCAGTATTTGCTTGCTTGCATCTCACGATATGTTTCCTATCAGTGTTTGTGGCTTGACCAACCTGTGAGTGTTTTCTGACAAGGTGCGAGCACATGAGCCTCTCAAAGGTAGGAGAGACAGACAGGTCCTCAGCGTCCTTTCAGCTTCCTGTAGACTTGCTCTTGTCAGCTCCAATGACGCCAGCATGGCATGAGGCTCAGGCGGGTGCGGGCAGGCGTAGACTCTCCAGCTCCGTCTGTCACCCTGACTGACTTCAGCTGGTAGAAAACCCACCTCTGGGTGTCTTTCTTGCTCCCCACACGCCTGCCTGCTTGCTTGCAAAACTACCTCTGCCTGGTGCTCTCATAACACGGCAGGGACGTGCAGGTTAATCTTTTATTTAAGGCTAGCTTACACGCACCTAGTTGCAGCCCACACATGCTTGCACATAAGCCCCAGGCCTCCACCTGTGAATTTTCTGTCTGCCTGTGTACCTTAAGGATACCTTAAGCATTTCATTGTTTGAATTAAGTGTGTATACTGTAGTAGCTTTTATATTTGTCCTCCTGGATTCCAGGGAGAGAGAACGCTACATATACAAATGCTTTTGACAAGGGCATTATGGCTTTGAGACACTGTGCACTATATATGGTTCTACTTTCAGCACTCTCAGTTCATTCTTTTTTTTTTTTTAAAGAAGCAAAACATCTATTTAAGCTTAACATCGCCAGTGTGAAAGCTCACATCTTGAGCAATGATGGAAGCAACCACTCCTTACTTATGGTAAGCAAGGGAAAATTAATGTGGACCTTGCAACATACTGAATCAGCACTCACAGTCATCTGCATATGCCCATGCACTCACACACACACACAGAAATGGAATTGACTGATCATGGTCAGTAAGTTGTTTTTCGGGCAAATTTTTCTGCATCGGCTGCATTTCTGCTTGAGAAATGAATGCATTTGTTTTCATAATGACACAAAGTAGAAGGAAATGGCTTTTTATGCTGGAACAATAATTGATTGCGTTGGGGGTTGTGGGGATTTTATATTTTTGATGGACAACCATTTCTGGATTCTTGTGTTGCACCAATAATACAGTACGGTGGCCTTGCTCTGTATAGATAGATGGGATATTTTACATGCTCGTTGAGTAAACAGTTCACCATGTTTACCAGCTGCTATGTCTCTGCCCTGTTCTGGCTTCCTGCACTACATTTTCCTCAAGTAGTCACAGCATTTGCCTATTTCCAGCTTTCAACAGCAAACTTTACTAACCTTTTATTCATGAACAGCATTTTTTTCTGTTTGTGCAGATGAGATCATTCTTATCTCTATATCAAACACTGTAAAGACATCATCCCAAAGCACTCTGACTGAAGCCTTTTGTGCACACTACTCTAGTCACCTTCCATGTGTTGGTTTTATACATGGAATCTGGGGAGCTGATGCAAATCATAGTGACAATGTAGCAAGCCAAGCAGATGTTGGCTATGAAAAATAGATGGACTGTGATGTCAGCTGTGGAGTAGTTCAAGCTAGAGCACCTCTGACAGACAGCAGATTCAGTACCACGTGAAAGCCTACTGCGAACCCAATTCTTACATAAGGACCAGTATACCATATTCATAAATTGTAGGTGCAAAAAACATCCCAGGTTTACTGGATTTGGCTTGCTTTGCACGCACAAGCCTGTGGTTCTTGCAGCACACTTCCATTAGTTTCATTGTCGTTCCATTTCTGTTATGGAACATCAAGTGCACCCACAAATATTGAAAACATAAAATATGCATCTAACCCTGATCTGCAAGGACAGGCAGGTGGAGCTTAGCTCTCGCACAAATTCTGTCAGTCTAAGACAGAGCAGATC